TAAAACATTTTAAAATTAAGGTTGACATGCTTGTGATGCCATGGATTTTAAGCCAACGGACAGTAATAAATAAAACCTAATCTACTGTAGTAATAGCCAAAAACAAAATAAATCCCATTACATAAAACCATAGAAACAATAACATCTGTCTTTAAGTATGCTTTATTACTTGTATCAACCTTCCATAAATCTCCAAATGCATAAAATGAAAATTATTGGATTCTATTCATAACATTGTTCAAAATTAATTATATTTCTCTGCGGAACTTTATAGCTTGTTGTTGTTGTTGTTGTTGTTGTTGTTCATATTCAGTCTGCCACCCCCTTGAAAGCTGTTAAAGAGTTACCCTGACGAGCAAATGAAGTCCTTCGGTCTGTAGGCTGGCCTCATTTTTGCCAGCATTTATGCATGCGGTGTTCACTTTCCCACTAAAAGCTTCAGCATTTCAAATTACAGTATCTCAAACACAGATAGATAATGTTACCCAAGATGAGACCCCAAGAAAAACGGTTTTATGGAGATGTTACGAAATGTATGAACGGCAATTCAGACAAGCAACTGAATAACTGAATAGAAGAACTGGATGGAAACTGAACAAAGAGAGATTCAACCTGGAAATAAGGAGAATTTTTCTGACAGGGAGCGCAGTCAACCAATGGAACAGCTTGCCCTCGAAAGTTGTGGGAGCGCCATCACTGGAAGCTTTCAGGAAGAGACTGGACTGCCATCTGTCAGAAATGGTGTAGCGTCTGCTTGGGCTAGGCTGGGCTAGATGACCTACAAGGTCCCTTCCAAGTCTGTTAATCTGTATCTGTATCTATCTGTATCTGCAGCTAAGAACACCAGCCAACTTTAGGCACAACATTAACCAGCTTCTAAACCCTGGTTCCTCCAGATGCATTAGGCGAGAGCTCCCATTCTTCCCTGCCAACACAGATGGAACCATCTGTGGAATTCCAGACCCAAAAGATGAACAAGGCCATTTGTTCTCAGTTTTTAAAAAAAATGCGCAAGGGAGAGAGAAGAGAAAACCCTGCCAATTCTCTACCAAGATGCATATTCTCCCAACACAACTGAAAGCATACTAAAAGGACTTCAGATACCCTGCAATATGTTTATAGCTATTAAAACTGCTATGATTCTTTAGCTTGAGATAAAAAAGAACTTGTTTTCAACAAAGATACTCATTTCCCGGATGTTCAGCAAGGCTAATAGTCCAAGCAAAGGAACAATCCATGCAAGTTTTCATTTAACTCTGAGTACACTGTGCGCCATAACATTTCTTCAGGAATAAGATTGAAAGGAACTGGGAACAGGTGGCTCATTGTAAGTTAGTTCTGACCAAACAAAGTGAAGTACAAATAATTTAAGACATTGCCCAAGGGAAAGAAATGATTAGCTATAGCACAAACATCAGATTGTACTCTCCTTTTGCAAACAACCAACGAAAATAAGTCCTGCAAGATGCTGAAGCATAGCCAGATATATGAAATAATTTAATAACAATAATGTCTATGCACAATGATATATATGTCTGTGGTGTGTGTGTGTCTACACACACATCATATGGATGTTTCTGTATATTAAAAATTCCATACACAGTTTTACTGCATGCATTTCTAGATTCGGTAAACCAGTTCTAGCCAGAGCTTAGTAACTTTGTGAACACATCCAAACTAACCATGTAGAACACAATGTTCTTTCCTCCTTAGGAATAATAGCAGACCACGCTCAAGCACCTTCTGCTGTTGTATAGCAGTCTGAGCTCCTGAGCTTCAAATTCAAGCTCTCCAAAGGCTAAAGTGAACTAAAGTGGACATCATTCCGGAGCAAGGTAAATAGGGCATTCATCTTTTGAAATCTTTTCTATGCTAGGAATGCGTCAGAGATTTTCAACAAATGTGTTTGACTTTTTTTCCCCCTCCTACCCTTGATTTTTATGAAAAACTGCAATTTCCTTTTGCCTGTTGCAGTACTCTTAAACATTTCTGGTTTAAATGTATTGAGGTTCAGGTGAAGCACTTTGCTCCAGAGTCTCTTTATAGACCCAGACAAATAACCCCATTGTCAATCCTAGCAATGTGCTCTACTTTCACTAATGAAGCCCCAAATCCGTTGTAACCAAGGCATCCATTCTTCTTCCCATGGGGAGGTCATCTCAATGTGTTCTGCTGTTTCTATATCATGATGTCAAGTGTCATGTTATCAGTGCAGACACTGTACACTGTGGAGGGATTACAGGAGCAGCTTGCTGAATTTGAAAGGTTCCATAAGTTTTATCATCCTTTGCAATCCTAACAGAGCTCTTTGTCACAAACTGCAGCGTAATGAGGATATTTGGTACGGTTATTTTTCACCTTTCTGCTGCAGGCTGCTTAAAGCCACTTGGAGAGTAGTGACATAAAAATGTCAGAAATGAAGAGAGAATGCTGAAAGCTTTTACAACATTTTCCCCTTTCCCCTGATCCTGTCCATATGTGCTTGGACTGTAACTTCCAGGATTCTGGTTGGGAATTGTGGGAATTAAGAGTCCCGAGACAGATAGCCAGAAACAGGTTGGGGTAAAGTATTTCTGCCTCTCTCTCCCTCTCTCTCTCTATCTATCTCTCTCTATCTCTCCATCTCCCTCTCTCCCAACCATACATGTGTATTTCTCTGCAGTTGTGCATTATCAGGACTATTCAGGAAATAGCTGTGGTATTGCAGCATAGACGATTGAGCCAGCTCATTGCAATAAATCACAGACACAAATGTTTACTAAACATCAAGCACTCAACTTTATATCCTGAAAGTTTAGTGGGCCTTTTTACTGCACTAATAGCTACACTAAGTTTCCTGACCACAAGCTTGGATTGTTCAATTGGAAATGTGCTTGTTAAGGTTTTTGTTTTTTTTTTAAAGCATTTTATAGCCCATTTGGATTATCCAAAGTTACTTAAACTACAATTAGGTCATCATACAGAAAACCAAGAAATTTAAAAAGTGTCCATGAGCAACCTCTACTGGATCTGTGACGTAGTGAACACTCAATGCAGAGGAAACTAGACTGTATACAGGGGCATTTAAGGCATCTTGCAACACTCCTTGACTTACGATCACAAGAGTCCAAACTTTCTGTTGCTAAGTGAGACATTTATTAAGTGAATCTCGCCCCCATTTTATGATTGTTCTTGTAACAGTTGTTAAGTTGCTGTGAAGTGAATCACTGCAGTTGTTAAGTTAGTAACACAGTTGTTACGTGAATCTGGATTTCCCCATTAACTTTGCTTATCAGGTGGTTGCAAAAGGTGATCACATGACACAGCATCCATCATAAATATGAGCCATTTGCCAAGCATTTGAATTTTGATCACGTGACCATGAGGATGCTGCAATGGTCATAAGTCACTTTTTTCAGGGCTGTTGTAACTTCAAAATGAACTGTTGTAAATTGAGGACCACCTGTACTAATTTGGCCTGCAAAGAAATATAATTCAAGAAAATGAATATTCATAAAAAGACTGTGTCAACAAATGTGGAGTTGGATTTATTATCTCGTAAGAGATATTTAAATCAGACCTGTTGTTTGCCGTTGCTACTTACTCATAGAACATTAATGTTAAAAGCAGAATTATCTGACCATAGTGGCCTTTTGAGTTGTAGCCCCAGCACATGTGGCTGTGCTCGATTAAAGCTGTTTATTATACGCCAAAGAGCTTTATTCTCTTTAACCATTTTTCTTTCCTTCTCTACCTCATATTTTATTTTTACTCTTTTTGTTGAAAGCGAAAGAGGAAAAAAAATGTTGCACACATTTGCATTTGCACACTTCTGAGTGTTGGAATGATGTAATTTGGTTAGTGTGGAGAACGCGGGTACTTACATGTATGGCATTCAGCTTTGTTCGGGTATTTTCCCACGTCATTGTAGCTGTGCTTTTAAAGTTGTAGCAACGTTTCGGCAGAATCTCATCTGCCATCATCAGGCTTCCCAGATGAACACTACATATGTTCCTCTCCTTGCACACACTAACCAAATTACATACATACATACATACATACATATCAGAGATGGCATTCAGCAGGTTCTGACCAGTTCTGGAGAACATGTAGCAGAAATTTTGAGTAGTTCAGTATCCTTCTCCTGCCACGCCCACCAAGCGACGCCCACAGAACCGGTAGTAAAAAAAATTGAATCCCACCACTGATACGTGTGTGTGTGTGTGAGAGAGAGAGAGAGAGAGAGAGAGAGAGAGAGAGAGAGAAAGAAAAGAAGGCGGTAGCTATTAGTTACCGGGACTGAACAGTATATAATACATAATTTACCATTGCCTTTTCATTGCCCTTTGTATTTATTTTAAGTATAAGATTATAGGTATGGGTTTAGGAATTCTCCCCCCCGCCCCCCATTTTACTCTCTTAGATTTTATTCTGCTTAGAGTTGGTTCAAAGTGAGCAGGATATAATGTAAAATAAATAAATAAATAAATGTCACTACGTGCTCCTTTTGATAGATTGCAATTTAACAATGTGCTTTTCTTTAAGGGGCTCTGCTTTTTGTGTTTTTTTTTTCCTACAATCATTAGATACCAAACAACTGCTATATAAACTATTACATCAAAATAAAACAACGGTGTGCCTTGTCAGTTTAGAACAATTGTATCAAAGTTCATTCTATCACCACTTACAAAGAGATAATCCTGTCAACTCATGAATTAATTTTAAAAAATATTCTGAAGTGAACTAAAATAAAATCCATACGCAGGAATAAATTAAGCACACTGAAGAAAAATAAGACAAATTAACATACTCTTTTTTTGCTCTCCTCTCTGTGGCACAACTCTCGGATTTTTTCCACAATGTCTTCCTTGGAGGGAGTCGCTACAGTGGGGTTACTCCCCAGTAAAGTCACGATTTGATCTTTGAATTCATTGTGCAGCTTTTTTTCTTCCCTGGCCTGCTCTAGACTAGTTCTCAATTCCGCTTCTTTTTCATTGCAATGGACTTTTAGTTGGCCCAATTCTTCCCAAGCCCGTTGGCTGGCTGCCAATCGGTCTTGGAGGCTTCTGATCTCCTCCTCAAGATTCTGCTTAGCTCCTGCAATGTTGCTTAAATCCTAAAATAAAAACAATACTAATATTTACAAGTCAGAGAAAAGAGGAAAACGGTTATTTCCCAACACATTTCCAGGAAAATAGCAGATACATTGTGCGTTATTATTAAAACTTGCTTACAAGAGATGCATGGATATCCCTGCATTCTGTGGAGTATCTCCAAAGACACAGGTGCATGGATAGTTTTTTGTTGAAAGAAAATAAACTATGAATCCAAAGAGTTGGAACAATCACCTCATTAGGTGCGGTTGAGTAAACCTTCAAAGTCCCGCCATTGACTTTTGCCGTGGTTTTCTTTCAATATAATGTAGACTGGACCCAAATGATTTGATAAGTATAAAAGACCTTTTATTTATGGAAGGCCAGTGTGGATCCAACCCATGAATGATTCAGTATCGGTAAAGGAATCGGAGGAACTTTTGATTTATTTCTTGCCAAGCTGAGTAAAATCAATCCACCCAAACCACAACGCTGAAAGCACTTCTTTTTAACCCCTGCTAAAGTCTTCACACCACTTTCACTCCCCAAAGGACACTAATTGGGTCAAATGATCCAATTCCCGCCATTTGTAGAATGTCATCATTCTACATTATACCATGGTGTGGTATAATTTGCTTCATTTGTTATACAAATGAATTAGAGCAAATAATTTATCGTAGATTTAACAAACATTCAGGATTACTAGACAACTTTGGATGATTTGTTAAATGAAGGTTTTACTTTGGTGAATTTAATTCACTTAGATGGCTGCCCATCTATCCATAGTTATTCTGTATAGTTAACAACAATTAAAAACACAACTGACTATTAAAATAAAATACATAACTGGCAGCAAAATAAAAGAAAATCAAACTACAATTAACATAACCATTGCACGGGCTCTCAATGACAGATACAGCCAAGATGGGGGCCAATCTGATCTCAGGGGTGGAATGATGTTCCACAGGGCAAGCACAACGACAGGCAGACAGGCTGTCTTTTTGGGTCTCTCCAGATGACGTTCCTTAAATGATGATGAGGCCCATGATATGCCTCTTCTGCCAGATTTAATGGTATGGGTAGAAACAATTGGTCAGAAGTACTCTTGCACCTTTATTGGTTCTTCATATGTAACGCTGACTGTAAGCATTATATGTAAAATGCTTAAAATGACTTGTTTAGCTGGTAGCCCACAAGCACTATGGATTAAATTTTATAAAATATATATTGGATTATGGCAGTGGTGGGATTCAAATAATTTAACAACTGGTTCTCCCAAAGTGGTGCAAACTGGCTGAATCCCACCACTGGATTCTGGCTTGTTGAAAGCATTGGGAACAGTTGTGGAACAGAAACTAGCAACTTTTGATATGGATTGTTTTGTGTCTGCTGGTGTGTGTGTGTGTGTGTGTGTGTGTGTGTGTGTGTGTGTGTGTGTGTTAGATGACTAGTTTCAAAAGCCAAAATGGCATTTGAGCTGTGAAAGATCATAATTATTTATGTAATTATGCCCAAGTTAAATGCAGATTTTTTTTTTTTTTAAAAAAGAAAACTGTTAAATACATAGTTGTCACCATTCAAACCTAGTCTATCAAAGCCATCACAGCCAATATTATCTGCTTTTCTGCAACTTGGCATGCTTCCATTTAATTTAATTTAATTTCCCTGCTACTTTTCTTAAAGGGATTTGGTAGGAAGGGGAAAATTACCCTAGGGACAAGAATAAAATTACAGTTTTTGTGAAAATTAAGGAAACATTTTCAGATTGCAATGTTATTTCAATAAGTCTTTCCCCTCTTTGTCACAGGTGCCGTGCAACATTGCTTCCCCACTCCATAAACCACAGCAACTTATGTTTGAAAATAAAAATATTCTGTATTGATACCACACCCAATATGATAGGATCCAAGAAAGGGAAGACATGCCATTAATAAAAACCAAAGTACTTATCATTTTACATTAATTAAAAACTGAATTATTACAACATTTGAAGGACCTTCAAACAATTGACTGGATCCCAAAGTGGCTTTTGAGGAAGGGATGAGAGTATTGTAAGCATATTGCTTATCTCAAGAGAAAGAAAACAACAATAAAGAGGCAAGTGGCCAACTTAGAGAGCAAATTAAACATCCATTTGGCTTTTCTTTTTTCCAAAGCATAATCTACAGGTAGCCCTCGACTTAGGACCATAACTGGGCCCAAAATTTATGTTGCTAAGTGAAATGTTTGCTAAGTGAGTTTTATGGCCCATTTTATGACATTTCTTGCCACAGCTGGTTAAAGTGAATCGCTGCAGTTGTTAACATGGTTATTAAGTGAGCCTGGCTTCCCCATTGACTTAGCTTGTCAGAAGGTTGCAAAAGGGGATCATGTGACCCTAGGACCACTGCAACCGTCATAAATATGAGTCAGTTGCCAAGTGCCCAAATTTTGATCAGGCAATCACGGGGGATGCTGCAATGGTCATAAGTGTGAAAAATAGTCACAGGTCACTTTTTTTCACTTCTGTTGTAACTTTGAACGGTCACTAAATGAACTGTTGTAAGTCAAGGACTACCTGTATTATGATAACCCTATGATGAGGTGGCAGAATTTACCCTGTGTCCATTATTTCCCTACATTTTTCTAACTCACTCTTGCCTGCGTGGAGGACATTTTCCCTGTATGCAGGTATTTGTTCAATCTGTACTCCATATTTCTTGTTAGTGCTTAAGGCAAACTTCCAAGAGAAATGTTACTCATTTTATTCCCACAACAGCAATGCTGCACGAAGTGGGAGGGTGTCAGGCTCAAAAGTCCAGGTCCACGTGTGAAAGTCCAGTTCAACCGATTTACTGCTACTTATGCCTATGCACAGGAATCTTTTCAACTAATGGTTAGCACTTGTTTGGGGTTTGGTAAGGGTCAATGGAATTCAAGGGTGGAAGTGAACTTAATCCACTTGTGGACACATAGGGATTTGAGGCTGCTCCTTCTTTTAACTCTGTCCCAAGATTTTGCTACTCCTTCTCCTTCAGGAGGGCAGAGAAAGAATAACTAGTCCAAAGTCACATCGAGTTTCCACAGTTCTATGAATTTAAACTTGAGACCAAATACAACTTCTTCACCCCTATTCCTACATGCGGGGACTGTCCTCCTTCCTTTATTGAAGATTTTGGGGGGGCGAGGGGGTGTTTCTGAATGAATCCATGCAATATTAAACTCGTACATTCTTATTCAGATTTCCAGAAGTACCTTTTGCACACTCTCTTCACTCTGTGTCTCCATGAACCTGGATATTTCTGCATCAGATCTAGAAAAGTGATTACCGGTCCATGCATAGTTGCCAAAACGTAACATTACTTTAATCAAAATAAAATATAAATATAAAATAAATCTCATAAATGAGCTAAGTAAACATTTGAAGTAGAAAGAACGTATATGAGAAAGATGGGAACAACCAGATCTTTCTGGTTTCCTAGGTACATACCTAGGCTGCTTTTATTTTAGAAACAGCAGATTCCATAAAAACAGTATGGTAGATAAACACAAAAAAGTGTCTTGCTCCAAATAAATGGGCCCAATAGAAGCAACTAAACCCCATAGTCACAATATTTTTTTGGGGGGGGGAGCTTCTAGATTGGGTGTATATGTTAAAGAAATTGATCATCTGAAAAATAATTTTGTTTAGAATTAAAATGCACCAAGGGAGCTGATTGGCATATTTTTTTAAAAAAAATATTGAAATACTTAAGGAAAACAGAGTGATTACAAACAGCTAACATGGATTTAATGACAGTGAACTAAGTATTCTGGAATACACTGGTTTTCTTCTTTGATAAAGCATTACAACATAGTTCTTGATATTGTAATTGGAAGAGCTTACAAAGGGGAAAGTAATTAAGGAGCAACAGGATAAGAAGATTGAAAGAAATGCCATATGAAGCTGAAGGAGCTTTATGTTTATTGCACAGATAAAAGTTTTTTCAAAGATTTAAAACTTTGCAAGAAAAAAAAAGCAGCAAAGCTAATGCATCAGACAAAGAAGGGAGTTAAATAGAAGTCTTGATTAAAAATGGAAAGTCTTGAGTAAGTGTTGTAATCTAAAGCACCAAAATAATATAAGAATTCTAATTCTATCCATTTTGAAGATGAAGAAATCCTTTTATTTAAAAAAATTGAGTTGCTTGGCCCATAGATCTGAGGACTGTTATAACTTCTTTATTGAACAGATTGTAGAACTATTGAAACATTCACAAACACTTTGTAAATGAAGTCTCACATTTTTTTCTGACTTGGATGCTAAAATTGATAAAAAGCCAATAGAAATGCTACTTGCAATCCTGTGTCTCATCATTAAATATGTTTTCGGGTATCTGTACATTCAGATAAGGACTTCTTCCAGCTACAAGAGCTATTACTTGTACAATGTTAATTATGTACAAAGTGTGTTACTTGCTTGAAAAGGATAGTCTTCTATCACAGGCTAGCTTTGTTGTTACAAGATGTCGTTGTGATACCAGTCTGCATTTTCAAGCATAATAAAAATGTAAAATTGTCTTTTTAAAGCAAACTTCTAGAAAACAATGTTGTTTGTTTATCTGCTTACATAATGTATAAGAATTCTCAACTCTTTTTTTTTGTAAATTTTATTTGAGTTTTCACAAAAAGAAAAAAATACAAATAAAACATCTTTTTTGAAAGTAGCGTAATCCCGGGTTACATTTCTTCATACAGACACAAATTCAGGTTCATGCTCATTTTTATATTCTATTCCATATCTTATTACTATTTTACATTTTCTGCATAGCTTCTCCCCTCTTTTAATTTTCTCAATTTTATTTTAATTATCTCATCTCAATTCAAATAATTGTATTTATATTTTTTGTCTGTCCTGTTTCAATTATCTATTATCTTTTCTCATTAAACAAAATTTCTCCTGTAGTTACTGATTGGAGTATGATGCCTTTATATCTTTTCCCTAAAGTTGTAACATTCAATATAATACATAACTTCCATTCGGATTCTGCTTGGTACATTCTTA